CTGTTATTTGATTTTAATTAAAATAATTTTAACACTTATCTTTCGGAGTATTTTGGGTTTAATTTGGCCATCATTACTTAAATAAAATGTTTTAAAAACAAATACTTGTTATTTGAAAAAATTAAAAGTAACTTAAAATCTAAAAATTTTGCCTTCATTAATCAATTATAATATTGTGAATTTCAATCGATTGAAATGAATTTTAATGAGTTGATTTTTTTTTTCGAAAATTTTAAGTTTAGCATACTAACTAGTTACCTATTTTTTATGATATCACAAAAGCTAAATAATATTAAATAATATTAATCACATATCAATCAGTATTATGTACATAAGTATACATTGATATTATTTTTGAGCAAACACATTTCAATTAATATTTTAATATTGGCAAATATTTCTTCCTACACGATATATCAAAATACTGATTGATTTTTTCAAATATTTCAACACCCCCTTTTTAAAACACGTGAAACGTGCAATATTTTACTGAAATACTTTACAAGTATTTGATTTTGTTGATAACATATTAAGACTACCGAAATAAACCTGGTTTTCCATAAGTATTACGTTATATTGGAAAGAAAAAGAGAAATGTCTTTAAAATTAAAAAAAGCCCAAATTAAAATATAATCCGAATTCCACAATCTCAATTTTTTTAACTATGGTTAAAACTAGCAGAAGATGGACTTTAAAATTTTTCTCTCACTGCGGTTACAGTTCACGGTAATTTATCAACGTACCTATAAAACTCGTGTCGTACCTGTGTTCTCCAAAATCTCCGATTGTAGGTACTTCGCATTCCTTATACACATTTCGAAATTGTTTAAAAATTTGTTGCTTTAATACCAAAAATATTCAAAGGTTCTACACAACTTTATGGAATAATTTGCAAATCAAAAATATGCCGGAAAAGTGATTGACTTTTTAACAATTAAAGTGTTTATTTAATTTATTAATTCTAATATCGAAATAGTTATTCATCCTTGATCATTTATGAAAAACTTTTGTTGATTATTCATAGAAATAATACTAATATAGACACTATTAATTTAATATTGTCTTATATAAATTTACTGAAAGTCAATGGAAAATTTTGAAATTTGTTTTTCGGTTGTCATTTACATTATAGTATACTTGTCATTAAATAATATTATTTGACTAACAGTACATTGACGAAATGATGACCATAAGTACATAATTAATGAGTAATTAATTAATTAAAATTGTATGAGTAATTAATATTTCACTTCATTCTCAAGAGTGTAATCCCTCTGGTTTTGAACGCGAAAAGCTATATAATTTCAGTACTCTGTTGCTGAAATTTTAAAACACAAGAATTTTCAAATTATGATAAAAATATTCAGTACAACTTGTATGAGTTTTACCATCCAAATAAAAGACAAAGAAATATAATTAAATATTTTCCCGCTCAAAACAAATTTGGAATACATTCCATATTTTTCAATTATAAAAGTACGGAATTACGTAAATTCAATTAAAATTTATTATTATTACAATTACTCTTGACTAATATTTGCAACATTATTTTTATATAAATTTATTTTTACATATGATCCATACGTATATGAAATGCATTTAAATTTTATATAAATGCCTACATAATATAGAAAATAAAACGTGCTATTAAGAAAACTTATATAAAATTTTCAATTATTAACCCCATATTACCTTACCCTATACGAATACATAATTATTAATACATGAATTAATTTTTAACATACACAGTCAGTCATAATACACCATATAATACATGTTGCTTTCATACATTTGAAAATCAAACAAATACAATAAAAATATTTCATTTGATCCGTTCCGTATATACACATTTTTATGCTAAATTTTTATTTTTATTCATAATGCATGCATATATGCACTGCACGTCTTTAAGTCAATGAAATGATTTGAAAATCGGATTAACCTTGATGATGAAAATTTATTATAATGTGAATTATTTAATCGTCTAAATTAGTAAATCATACGGTGAATATGTATATGTAGATGCAATGTGTATTATATATGCTAGTAAGTTAAAAAGTCACAATAGTGTTAATGAGCTATTTAAGTTTATTGTTATTATCTACGTTCATATATGTACTAAATAATTGTATAATTTAATATTATTAATTTATGTATGTGGGTGTATTGTGTATGCGCACGTGAATATAGATATAGAACATTATCATTACAAGAATAGTACCTTAAAATAGTAAAATATCTCTGAATTTGATGAAAACGATTGTACTTTCTGTCCCATTTGAAAATATCATTTTAAATTAGAAATTTTTAAAATAAATGATTGAGCTATTAAAATTTTTACCCATATAATTCGTAATGCTTTGATACTTTTACTATGTAGGTTAACTTTTTTTAGGAGTAAATAATTTACTCTTTTTTTTGTGAAAATCATAGAGCCTGTTGTAGTACTAACCTGCATTTATATTTAATATTATACTGCATAATATGCCAATTGTAACCACAAATGTGAACAACACCGTGTTGGTAAAAGTAAAAGGAAAAATTTAAACTGAAGTATTTGACCATATTTAATAAAAATGAAGCAGGCTAAACTCAATCAGGATAATTTAAACATACTTTAGTCTTGAGTTAAGTAAAGTGCATTCTAAGAGGAAAAATATATGACAAAAATTATTCAAAATAATTTTAGTATTAAATTTTAAGAAATGAAACGCATTAGAAAATTTTATTCACAATTCTCTATTCATTAGTTGTTCATATAAATGTTGATACACACATGCAAATTGCAAACACAATATAATCTGAAAGCTTTAACAATGGAAAATAATGTAAGTACTTATATGCTTATGTATGTATGTAGAAAGAAATAGTGTATCTCATTCAATGTAGTAAATCAATTAACTAAATTCACTTTTTTTTTCAAATTTCGTTTTATTACTATAATTTACGAAAAATATGATTGCGTGCATTCAGAAACAGGAAAACTCTAATAAAATAAAAAGTAAATATTAAATGTTAATTTAAATGTCACAACATAAAATTGTCAAAAATGAATTTTAATAAATATATTGACATTAGAATAATTTGAGTAATTTTTGCTAATTTTAATTATTGTCGAATACAATTTATTACACATTTAAAGTACGAAATATCTATAATTGAAATTTTAAAGAATTTATTATTTCAGAGTAAATTTGTGCGGTAATTCATCAAGTATTCAAAATGTTTAAGGTTTTCACTCAAAATATAATGCTTTTTCTAAAAATTCTATAAAGAAAGACATTCATTAACTCTCATTATCAAATATACATACATATATAATTTACATTACAATAAATAAATTTATCAATTCGACAACAATGTAATACAGAAATTTTTCGAAGTACCTACGTGTTTAATAAAACATTTTGTTTAATATTTATTCGATAAATTATTATCTACTGCATAAAATATAATGCCAATTGATTAATGAACTTCAGAGTATGTTCAACACAATTTAGTGGAATCTATATTTTATTTCATTCAAAATATAAAAATTTATAATATCAGTTAAATTATTTTAAAACCACAGCTTTTTAACAAAGATTATGTAATAGAGTATATGGAAGTATTAGTTATAGAAAAATACATATACTGTTATATTATATAGAACAATAAACAAAATTAAAATCTAAATTAAATGTCAAATATATTACTTCTAACTGATATTATACAAACATTTATATGATATTCGTTCACTTTCTCTTTACCATTGTGAGTAAAAGTGTGATGCACAAAATGAGACTTTTATATGATCTTATTAATAATTTTATATACATACATAGTTTATTAATAATATTTCTTATGAGTTTTATAACATTTTTGAATATACATGTGCTGCCTGAAAATCTTCTTCAGAATAAAAATATGTTATTTTGTTCTGACTCTGAGAATAAACGATGACAAACTGTTATCAGAACCAGTTAGATGTGAATCTCGTTAGTGCGGATCTAACGCTGTACACATTTTCGTCTTTTAAAGGAATTCCATTGGGCTAGAAAGACTAAATCACTGCACTCCGTACACGTCCACTAAACTGTCAGATTTTATGAGATATATACTTTTTTTTTGTTACAGGACGAACAAATAAAAAAATTTTAAATATTATTTTTCATTCGCTACATTTTGGCTTAAAATCTCTTACATACATATACATATACACTACTTTTCAACTAATATTTGAATTAGCAATGTATATCAGTATAATTATAATTATAAATAATAGTCTCCAAAGTCTAAGCTATAAAAACGTCAATTATCTAGCATATCGTATATTAATGGTGACAATAATCAATTCAAAATAGCACAGAATATTTTCCTCTATTGTTATTTTTTTTCTCAATCCATATTATTGTGAATAAAAATAATTTTCTTGTTTGGGAAAATTTATTTTATTGTATTTAATAATGATATGAATTGGAGATTTGATGAGAGCTAATGAAATTTTTGTTAATATTAAACATGAATAAATGTGACATAATTTCGTTTAAATATGTTTTGTATATTAATTTTAATAAATGAAAAATAATTGAAATTAATGATGATAATGGAAAAGGCTAGACTAAACTACGTATATAAAAATATTTAATTTAATTTATTTAATCTTCCTTCGAATTGAGAATTTTAATATACGATGCATATGAAATAATTTGTATAACATTAATAAAATATGATATTATACAATTTTTTTACGATTAAGGGGCTTATAATTAATGTTAATACAGTGAATCTAAGAATTTTTAATAAAATTGAATGTATTTGGTTATTGTATCTTGATTATTCTAGCTTAAAAATTCTCCTATAATTAATCTCAATACATAGAGCAAAAGTACACATATATGATAAATCTAGATATGAAGTATTTTTCAAGACTGGTCATCTTAATTTAATCAGTTTATAAAATTTGCTTATTTTATACTTACACTCTAATTATTTATTGTTTTTTTTCTTTTTACTTGCAGTACTCAAAGAATTCAAATCGATTTAAAAATTTACAAAATGTTCATACAACATCAAATAATGGCACAACACAATCAACATTAACACCAAATGGTACATTAAAATCACCATACCATCATAATGGTAACATAACAAATGGTTTAAATGGTCATAAAAATGCAAATCATAATTTAGAAGAAAATAAATTTATTGAAGAAAGTAAAATTAAACCAGTAACGCAAAAAGAACGTGAAGATTATGAGAAGAAATTAAAAAATACATTTGGTTGGACACGTATAAATGTACTTACAATGTCAGTAATATTCATTGTATTAGCATCATTATCGTTTTCAAATGTTATTGAAGCTATTAAAGCTTTCATACATATGTCACATAAAGATATTATTCATTATCCTTTACCAGTGCTTACATGTGGTGCAATTGGATTAGTTTTAGATAGTTTAACATATTTTCTAATTGGTGGTTATACAATACATTTAGTTAATTTTTGTAAATTTAAAAATCTTTCAAATTATTCATCTATATGCAGTGATATTGAAAAAATTAAAAATAATGAGATATTATCAACAATTAAACAAAATTCAGAAGAAAAGAATATGCAACAGACAATTGATAATATTCGGAATACACAAGTAAAACAGACACAATATTATACAAACGATGATTCTATCGTATTGAATGAAAATTTCCGTCCAGGATGGTATGACATATTTACTGATATATCAAGTTCATTACTTGTAATGATTTGTGGATTAACAGTACACCTATTTACAACATATTGTGTCGATTGCAACAATGGAAAATATATTGATCCAATTTTGGCAATATCTTCATCATTTATATTACTAGTGATGATATTCCCATATAGTAAGTATTGGAAGTAATTGCTCAAATTTAAAATAATTTTTTTTTTTAAAACAATTTAGAATTATTTTATTATTTTACTTTAATTATTAAGTTTGATTATTTGTTCTGAAAATACGGTTTTTTAACAAAAATTTATAAAATTCTAAATTTTAAACAAAAGACTAAAGAAAGAAACCTTTTATAATTATTTAAAAAAACAAAATAAATTAAATTATTTTTTAAAATATTTTAACTTATTTCTAATTTTTCTTATTTTTTTCTATAGTGAAACAATCCTGTATGATATTGCTACAAACAATACCAGGTACAATCAATATACAAGTTTTTCGTAAGAATTTATTGGAAAAATTCCAAGAAATTTCTGTACATGATTTACATATTTGGTCACTTACATCAAAAAAATATGTTTCAACCGTTCATATAATTTTTAAAGATCCAAATCTATATTTGAATACGATACAAGAAATAAAAAAATATTTTTATGAACAAGGTATTGCAACAGTTTCAATACAACCGGAATTTTTATGTGCTAAGATACGATCTACAATGATTCCGAATAAAAAAAATAATGAAATTATTCAAAAACTGCCAACAGATGATAAAGAAAATTTGTCAACATTAACATACAATACAAATACAAATATTTCATGTGATAATTGTTTAGTACCATGTTTAGCATTAGCTTGTGCTGAAAAATCATGTTGTAATATTAATACAGAACTAAAAGAAATTCTATCTGTATCATCATTAGAAAATATTAATAATTCACCATGCTATACAAATATTGTTACATGTCAAACAACAGTAGCATCTTTAATATACAATCAAAGGAAATTATCAACTGATGGAAAATTACAAGAACAATCACCATCACATCAATCAAAGCAATTACAAACACTTGATGTTAATAATTTAGAAAATATTAAATCTAGTCACATAATAAAATTTAATAATAAATGTAATCGAAATCTGGAATATAATTTACAAGAATTAAATGGTAATTATAGATTATTAGAACAAAATAATGATAAAAATTATTTTAAAAATAATTCATTACAATTGCCAAATAATAACACTATAAATGGAAATTGTTCATCAGAATTTAAGCAGAATTTAAATGAAAATTTAGAAATTAATGAAAAATTCTCACAAAATAGTGAAAATCATTAATTTTTAATTTATAGAAAATTTAATTTTTATAATGAATTCCGAAGTAACTTTTAAAATTTAAAAAATAAAACTTGCATTGTATTTATTTGTGCACTTTTTAAATTGTTAAATAATTGGTAATGTTACTATTTGTAATTAATGTCATGGATATTTTAATTTTATGTATGAATTCGTTTTTTAAAAATCAAACATATTTTTACAATAATCGTGCTTTTAAAATATTTTAGATACTTTGGATTCTAGGTTTCAAATCTAGGCCAAAATTATTAAAATGTGCCAATTATGCTGCCTAAACTATATAAACTTTGTGTTTAAATTGTATTTTTTATTACAGAGTATGTCGCATTAATGTAAAATCGTTTCAAAAAGTTAAAAACTAATAATTAAGTGAATTTGTAAAAATTTTAATGTATAAATTAATTAATTAATCATATAGTTAATTACGAATGTTGGGATTTATTAATATACATAATTTTTTATATAAATCCAAAAGAGTGGAATTTCAATTTTATTTAAATATTTCCCATATAATAATATTGCCAATAGATAAAATTAAGAACCTCAATTCAAACCTAAGTAATTTAAAATTTCCTAAAACATTTAAAAAAAGTCAATAAAATTTTTATGAAAAATAATATTAAAAACAGAAACAAAACTAATTCTATTATTAAAGAAGTATAACAGAATTTAAAAATTAATTTAAAAAGACGTATTATTTTTAAATTATAAGAACATGTAAATAAATTTGTAACATATAGATAGTATTTGTGAACAAATAATTTTTAATTATTAAAGTATTAAAATTGAAAAACTAAGGGTCTCATTCTGTATCTTAAGTTTCAGCTTTATACCAAAAATATACAAAATTTAATCACCAATCAGTCACTTTATTTTAGAACGTACTAATAATTAATATTTGAAATTTACTTAATATTTTAAAATGTAATCATTACATTTATAATGTAATGCATCCAGAAAATATGAGAAAATTAAATTTAAAAAAATTAATAATTTTTTGTCTTAATCTTTTGTATCTCTGTGATTAAGATTACACGAAAATGAATAATCTATATTATTAAGTTTTAATAATAAGAAAATCAAGATAACCGAAAAATTAAGATACAGAATGAGAATGTAAATTATAAAATTTGGAAAATTTTTTAATTTACTTTAATCGAATTTACACTTTTTATATAGAAAATAAATTTGAAAATATTATTATAATTCAATAAACTAACTATTGTACCAAAATAAAAAATAATAAATTTTGCTGTTTCATTTTATAAAAGCTTTAAAGTATGTATGTAAGTATTTACAATAGAAATTATTATTATTATCATAAAACAAATTTTTTTTAATTTCTAAAAAACTTTTTACATTTCAGCAAAAATACATTTTCTTCAAGAATTATATTTTATTAATTTATAAAATTGGAATTACAATTTGTAAGAATTAAATTATATATTATGTATGTTATTATTATTACAACTCTTCAATTAGAAAACTTTAATATTCTTAGATAGTTCAATTATACAAATGAATAAAATTAAAACATTTCTTCTAAAATTAACTTCGTATATCATATTATTTAAATAAAAATACTATTTCTTTTCTTTAAAAAATAAACAAAATTTAATTCAAAGCTGAATAAAAAAATATATATGTACTCAAAATAAAAAAGGATAAGTAAAAAATAATTTAATTTTTTTGAAACTTAAGTAAATATTTTTTCTATAAATTCAAAAACGTTCATTCCTTTATTATTTTATACAAAATAATAATATTACATTTTTTTATATAATCATCAGAAAGTTATTATAAATTAATAATTTAAATAATTATTAAATATAATTTTGTTCTTTTTTTTTATATTATTGCATGAAATTTACATTTTTAGTGTATGCTTATAAAAAAATTGGTTAAACAAATTTTGAATTTATTTTAAAATTGGAAGGGTCAATTATGAATTTCTAATTGTATTTTATTTTCGCACATAAAACAAAACATTGAAACACATTTTATTTTTCTAATAGAAAATTCAATCAAATAAACAATTTTAATTCAGAACGAATAAAAATTTATGATTAAGACTTTAAATTATAAAATGATATTTTTGTTAAATTTAACATTTGCAATAAACGATAAACGCGGTAAAATTTCAAAACAGAATTAAAACAAGTTTAATTGTTGTAAAGATTAATATTATTGTATTTTTTGTTATTTTGAAAGGGGAAAGGCCAATTAGTTTTCTACTAAACCTAATTTAATACTAAAATACGCAAAGCAAAGAACCCTTCAAATTAATTTTAAATTCATTAACAATACAATCAAAATGAATTCAAATTAAAAAAAAAAATTATTTATTTCTAATAACTTTAAACAAAATTACAATATCAAATTTATTATTTATGTACATAATGCATTTCTTTGCCTGCTCTTTGAAAAGTGTTGTTTATTTTACAAAATAAAAAATCTTTCATCAATTTTTCACTAATTTTTTATTATTTCAATTATAAAAACAAATTAAGTAAGTAAATAAATACTTTCAAGTTAAAAATGTGGAATAGGAAAGCTCAATCTTAGAGAAAATAAAATAAAAGAAATTGAATGCATTTAACTCTCTTGACGTGATAAAAATTAAAAAATAATTCAGTTAAATTATAATTCTTGACAATCATCTGGATTGTTCAGTCTCCTATATTATAAAGCTGTGTAACATGATCAACGCTTTTACACAAATCAAATAAAAGCATCCCACTATAAGATAACTCACTTATTAAAAAATAAACCCCGAGACTAGATTTAATATAATCTGATTAAATAAAAACAAAGTTATTAAAGTCCAAGTACATGTAAAAATTTATACAACTTATCAAAAAATTAAATAATAATATTTTCTGAAAAAAAAAACACGTTCACGAGAAAAAGTTTATTATTTTTCAATAAGATAACCGAGTTATGTTATTAGAAAATGAGTGGATGGCTCATTTTCAGTGTTCATGCCCAACTTTAGCATGGATAAAACAGATAAATTTCTTGGATCGCATTTCTTTTTGAGAGTTACGAGCTTGTTGTAAATGTAAATGCCAGGCATTTAAAGTTCGGTTTATAAAGGACTTGGGCTGGTTCAAGTTAGAATTTAATTCTATCAAAAATTTAAGATCTATGATGAAATAAGAAAACTTGTGTAGAAATAACCAATGGTAATTTTTGTTTTTTCGAATATTTGAATGCATATATAATTTTTTATATACAAATGGAACAAATATTTAAATACGTAAGGGCAAAGGGTCTAATTTTTTGCAAAGAATTTCTCTTGAATTATTACTGTCCATTTTTCATATCTAACTTAATTTTTATTTATCTTGACGTTGCTCTATAAATAGATACAAAATTTACAAAAAGAAAAAAAAGATCAAGATATATTTAACTACATGAAATGGGAACTTACTAAAAAATGTCTTTGTTATTTTTCTAATTTGTTTCTTGTAAACCAAATCGTTCTATTGAAAAAGATAATTCTACATCAGTCTCTTGCGCTAATTTATCTGCTGTATTATCATTATTTGACATTAAATGAGCTACTTCAACTTTATCATTATTTTCACAATATGTAGACGAAAATATTTGGCATGTTTGATAAAACTGCTTTAATAAATGTTCATGCAATAAATAATCATATAATTTATACAAAAATATTGCTTTTTTAGCTGTAAATTGAATATGATCTGAAGAAAGTGGACGTACACGCCAATTAATCTAAAATTAGATATATATATACTATAATGAAATGAAAAATTTATTAACTTCAATGCTTACTTGAGTCTTAAAATAGTTTGTCGGGATTAAGAAATATTTATTAACGCACGATATCAAATCTAAACTTTTTTCTTCTTTAAAAGTAACTAGATAAGCAACTAAAACGTCAAAAATTCCATTTATACTTTTAACATTTTGTGCATATTTTAAATGATCACATAATATTTTACTATCATACATAATTTTTCTAGGCTTTTCCAATTCTAAAATTTGTCGGAGCTCTTTTTGAATTTTTCGCATGCATATCATATCGAATATATAGACTAGCTTAGTAATTGGTGAATATAATGTAATAATAGTTGATAAATTGTTTCGTCCAAAATTACAATCTTCCATTAAAATGACATAACTTTCCTGACTACTTAAATCTTTTATTGCTTCGAAATATGATACATCATTTTGATGTAGCAATTTTATATTATCTAAAGTTATATTTATTGAATCCCATTCCTGTTTTGATAGTTCAACTTTTACATTTCTATTATTTGTATCCTTTTTTTCAAATAGATTGTTATCTTCTTGAGGTGATGAAAATGATGTAGGTTCTAAAGCACTTTCCTGAATTTGATCATCATATAATGGAATAATTGATTTAATGTTGGAAAAATAAAAATTTTGTATTCCTGAATATTTAATTTTAGTTTGCAGATTTTCCACGTTTTTCAATCGTATTCTCATATGGTTTGAATCAATCGAACATATGTTGCCAACAAAACTTTCTACATTTAAATCTAAAATTACTTTCTGACCAATTTCAAAATTAGTGTTCATTTTTATGTCTACGAAAAATCATAAGTTTTGTTTTTGTATAGTATTGTAAAATTAAAGATTGATATAAATGCACGTGACTGAACTATTACAATAGTATTTGATATTTAATCTTGTTTGAAATCTCCTGGTTCACTGAAGTAGGCTTTGGCAATGTATAATCCTAATGCAATATGTAATCCTATTACAGCCGATATAGCTGAGTAAATATTTGTTTGAATATGATTTATATCAAAATTACTCTCTAGAATATACTTTGTACCGAAGAATGATACAATTGGTAAGAATATTATAAGTAAACAATAAAATAACACAACTTTAAATGAATTATATGCCTCCTGTTAAAACAAAAATATTTGATTCAATTTATTAAATATGTTCATAAAATTCTTTACGTTATTAGACTGCTTCACTTGTTTGTTTAATTTATTTTTATTACCCATATTTTAAAAAGGAAATTTAATAGTTTTTCATTTATTCTTTTATATTTATACAAACAAAATTTCTAGCGAAACCTTTTAATAAATGTTATAAGGTATGAAATATTACTGAGTGGAAATGACAGAAATAAAACAAAATAGAAGCAAGAAATCAAAATCACATGACTTTTTCAACAATGGCATCACCGAATTTTGAAAAATGGTGCTGCCGTTATGTACTTTTATAATAAATTTATTTGTGATCAAACTTGCATCTAAAGGATGCCAGTAGGAGCAGCATGAAAAAAAGCAGTTTTTGTTTTAAACTTAATTGTTTCTATGCTTTTAAATATTTTTGTAAGCTTTGTTAAGTGAAAAACAAAAACAGCGAACGATTTCCGGTGTTAACACAGAGCACCAACGAAACGGCAAAATCAGCTGTTCAGTATTTCACACAAATATAAAACCAGATGTTGTCAAGAAAAACGAGTGCATTTTATAAGTTTTGAAAATAGTAATTTTTTAACACATCGAATTGTTAGTGAACTAGTTGATCAACCTAGTTGAAGAAATTATAACTTTGTATATTGTATAAAACTGCATCTGCAGTTTTAACAAAAATTGAAATATGTGGCTAGGTGTGACTGGCTATGTTGACCAATGTGTTTTTCAACGTGTTGGGGAACTAAGTTGAATGGTATATGGGTATCTTATGTTAGAACTGCAGTTACTAAATGCAGCTTAAATTAAATACATATGCGCATTTTAAATTCGAAATTTATTTTTGTAGGTGGTGGTAGACAGGAAATTTTTTTTTTCATAATGATCTGCAAGTAACTTGCAATGTCACTTTACTGTTTACAGCTTGCAAGTTGCAATTCAGTTTAACAATGTCACTTTACTGTTTACAGCTTGCAAGTTGCAATTCAGTTTAAAGCTTGCTATTTAGTCGACTTAATATAAAGTTACTGCAAATTCGAAACTACGAATTACTGTCCAGGTGTTTCTTTGTTGCAAAGAGATGTTTTTGACATTGAAGAAAAAACTGCATACATTACATTTGATATTTACTTTTTATCACAGTATGCCATTTTTTCTCTTTATATTTCTATGTTTAATTTGAATTATGTATATTTTTTTATTCGATTTTCTAATTTAATAACAAGAAAGTGGAAAAAATGAGAGGAGTGGGATATTAAAGACTTATTTTGTTAAAAGGTCAGTTTTGCTTTATTTTTGGTATGTCAATTTTTCAATTCAAAAACAAATATTTCTGGCCTTATTTTTGAAAGAGGTCGTTATTCTTGGAATGCGCACATTAGTGCCGTGAGAGGCATTTTTCCAATGCAAAATGTACATTTTTGTGCATTTTGGTTGTGCTGCACGCGGACGAACTGTATGCGACTCAAAAAAATACTACATGTTTTATTAAAATCAAATTGTCTTTATTAGCAAAACTTCTAACCTAAGAACTGCATTATCAAAAACACCCATTTTTGAATGTTGACATCGGACACGGAAAGACCAATTGCGACTTTGCTGCCTTAATAACTTAAATTAAAGAACTGCTGCTTCTTGGAGATATCTTCAACAAAATGTAATATGAACACAAATATTATTTCACCGAAGGGGATTCTACTTTTTCACGGTCATAGAGATTTATATTCATTAATTTGAGGACTTCAGTTCCTACACTCGTAAAACCTGGCTGTAAATACCTTGCAAATAATTCTAAGCAGTTTGGTTCTCTGTCTTTCGGTAACCATTTTTTGAATAATTCAAGTAATGGAGGTTTATGAGAATGAATTGCACTTGGCACGCTCAACAGAAAATTAGAATTATTTTCTAATGTGTTTAATTCAGAATCCATGGGGCTGGCAACAAAAAGAACTTCGAAAGGTTGTTTTTTTCCAGATTCACTATTAAGATCGTGGTGAAGTTCGAATTTTCCACAATTAGAGCTTAGCTTTATCCAAAAAAATTTAGTTAGAAATTTTAAATTCCATTTTGGAAGAAAATGATTTAATATCGCTTCTTGGTGTTGCTGAGAATTTGTACACCAAATAATAACAATTGAATTTTTGGCTGTGAACTTTTCTACTGGTATATTCTCAATTTCTAAGTGGGACATCATTTCATAGGCAAATTTTTTCTTAAATTCTGATTTTCTTAATCTTCTTATATATTTATTTCGCCAAGGTGGATCAATTATAATAAAATCGAAAGTTTCATCAATGATAATTTTACAAAATTCATCAACTCGCATATTGTAATATCTATAAAAATAAAGTATTATTTTGTTTGGTAAACATCCTCAAATTAAAAATTGTAAGTTCCTACCTACTTTTTCCTGGAATTATATATTTAGAATCTAAAATTTCAATTACTTTTAAAGTGTTAAACATATTATCACCATAAGATCTATGTAAAGAATAATTCTCATCAACATTAAGTTCTAAATCAGGAGAACCATTTGAAATTGTTCCGAAGCATCTTTTTAGCAAATCTTGTTTTTCCAGTACTTTGTTCAAAACAATAGAAATATTGTTTAGTTCATTTTCTTTATCCGTAGTTTCGGAAGATGTTCCAGCAATCTTACGTTTTTCCGCGCTTTTCTTCTTTTTCGTAAATCGGAAAATTTGCTCTTTAAGTTTATAACAAAATATTTCATCTTCACACTGTTCAAGGTATGCATTTTGGATAATTAAATTATGATTTAATAAATAAACACTTTTTCCATTTTCTTCAATTTCTACTAGTGAAGTACACATAATTCAAGGGCTAGCCTGATCCACAATGAAAAAACAATAATGATTTGTCACAGAACAGTATTGCCTTAAATGTGTGATTTAGTCAGAGGATCGTTTCACCTTTGATGTACGTACGAAAATCGGAATTACATTAATTATATAATAACATCAGCAAAAATGTATAATTGATAAAACATAATATTGGTATAATTATGCCACAATACTTTTCTCATACCTTAAACATTAAGACAGTACCTATTGGATAGTAACGGTTCTCACGATACTGTACTTCTCTGTAAAATAAATCAAAAAATACCTTCTTATCTGAACGATAAGAAGGTATTTTCGAAAATTTAAATTTCAAAGTAAATATTACTATGATTGCTGTAATGTTAATTGGTTTGAATATAAATTTAGTGGTTCTGTCTCAAAACTGGAATTACTGCATAAGCAAATATTTATATTATATATATGGGTTTGGGTCGAGTATATTTCAGTCCAGGAAAAAATAACGATAACAATTTTTGTAAAATATTTGAAAGAATATTAGATTAATTTGAACTAATTGGTATTTAAAATTTTGTAACTAATAGGTATGACGTTAGGCGAATTACTAGAAAATACTACATTCTAAAAATATTCGTAAAAAACCTGGAACTAATTTTGGCACAATTTCAGATAGCATTTTTGACATATTACTGATTGTGTAGTAATTTTATTAATTCTGCTATAAGTTATTATTTCCCGTCTTTCTACTTTCAACGGCAAGTCTCCTAATATTTGGATCTAACTGTTTACCATATGTTATTCAAACCCTTATTGTGACATTTCATCCAAGTGTTTTTGTTTATTTTAAGGGCAGAGAATTTGTTTTGGTTTTATTAATCTGTCAAACATAGTTTTGTAAAAAAATTACTAAATAAATACATTAATTTTTTTCATAAAAAAGAATCTGTTATTGTATAAATTTTATTAGTGAATTTTCGGGCTTAAAATGGAATTCAAGTCCTAGACAAAATAGTTATTTGAAAACAAAAGAAACTTCATTCTTAAGCAGACGATAGAAAATTTTTCAATTAAATGATTTGCGCAAGCCCTTACGCTGTCAATTCTTGAAAAATTTATTTTTTATGTCATGGTTTTTCATTAGGATATTGTTTTATAAGAAATTTCGTGTATTAAAATAAATTATCAGAAAATCCTATTATTAAAATGTCATTTCATCCGCGATGTGGTCGACGAGTTACTCTGACGAATTCAAATCGCACAGCAATGCGAAATATTTCTGATTTTAATCATGGGTTAGTTTTAAGTGCAGAGCCTTTAATGGATGATGTCCTTTTTGAGGTCACAATAGATTTAAAAGTAAGTTTCATAATTTGTTTGAAAAATAAAAAACTCAAAAAAAAAAAAAAAAAATTTATAGAACCATAACTGGAGCGGCAGCATCGAAATTGGTGTTACAACAGAAAACCCAGAAAATATCGAATTACCATCTTGTGCAACTAAAATGAGAACTGGAACATGGGTTATGTCTGGAATTAGTGTTCTTAAAGATGGAATGAGTTTAATAGAATTTTACGGAACTGATTTAGATTCTTTAGCAGAAGGTGATCAAGTCGGAGTTATGAGAACATCAAAAGATGAATTGATATTTTATATAAATGGGGAGTCACAAGGAGTGGCTGAAACTAATATTCCGAAAACAGTTTGGGCCTTAATTAATTTATATGGAAGATGTGTTCAAGTGACAGTTTGTCCATCTGACTCTTTAGAGTACTCAAATGCTGGAGCAGGTTGTATAGCAAATAATATTGGGCTAAATGAAGCTAGCGGTACATCATTACAAGTTTCTTCAACACAAAGCCTAGACATTCCAATTGATGTATCTGTTACAACTTCAAATTGTTCTATCCCAGGTAAATTTAATTTAAAATCTTGAAGGTAATATTATAAGAATAGGTATTTCAGGTGCAACAACTAGTCAAATAGGTGACTTTATAGATATGAATGATCGCTTAAGATTTCATACAAGATGTGGTTCATTAGTAAAACTCTCTCCAAATTATAGAACAGCTGAGCGACGTCGACCGCTGGACGAGTTTAATAATGGAGTTGTTATGACACATCGTCCTTTAAAAGACAATGAGTTATTTGAAATTCGAATAGATAAATTAGTTGACAAATGGTCAGGGAGCATTGAAGTTGGGGTTACTGCACATAATCCACTAGCCTTACATTTTCCTGCAACAATGACAAACATGAGAAGCGGAACTATTATGATGTCTGGTTGTGGTATATTGACAAATGGTAAGGGTACTAGAAGGCAATATGGCGAATTTAATCTAGACGAACTCAGAGAAGGCGATCGTGTGGGAATGATGAGAAAATCCAATGGAAACTTACATTACTACATAAATGGCCAGGATCAGGGTGTAGCAGCTACACGCGTAGCTCAGACTTTGTGGGGTGTAATAGATCTTTATGGAATGACGATTAAGGTTACAATTGTAGATCGTGATGAAAGGGAGCAGCAAAATTTAGTTACAAGGCGTAACAATTTAATGACAATGCAAAGTGGGGGAGTATCATCTATCGGAAATGCAAATGCAAGCACAAATGGAATACCAAACGGCACTATAGTATATCAAAACCCTTCAGACACAGCGGAATTCGAAGATATTATGTATCCTGGAGATTTAGCAAGAGCTATTGGAGGGCGAAGTGAAGATCGCTTGACATTTCATCCCATATGTGGTTCTCACGCCACAGTTACGCATAGTGGCAGAACAGCATTGCGTCCAAATGCTTCAGATGATTTTAATAATGGGGTTGTGCTTACCAGACGTACGTTGAAACCGAATGAATTGTTCCAAGTAAGATTGGAGAGAGTTGTTACAAAATGGGCCGGTTCAATCGAAATGGGTGTTACGACTCATACACCACAAGAGCTTGAATTTCCTTTCACAATGACAAATGTTCGATCTGGGACATGGATGATGACTGGTAATGGAGTCATGCATAATGGAACCACTGTTATAGAACAATATGGACAAAACTTAGATCGTTTGCAAGTTGGTGATAGAGTAGGTGTAGTTAGAAAAGATGATGGGACACTTCATTTTTGGGTTAATGGTGTAGATCAAGGTGCTGCTGCAACTAATGTCCCCGAAAAAGTGTATGGAGTAATTGACCTTTATGGTCAAGCTGCTCAAGCCAGCATAGTCGATACGTCCGAATGTGGTAGTCCTGATACAGGAAATTCGACCATCTCAAATACTACACTGTATAGCGAACCGCCTTTGCGTTTTCACTCTATTCATGGGAAGAATGCTCGTATTACACATGGTGGACTTACGGCAAGTAGACCTAAAGCTTTAGCAGAGTTTAGCGACGCAATCGTTTTCTCTAATAGACCTTTGAGGCAACGTGAGTTATTTGAAGTTGTTCTTGAAACAATTGTTGGCCATTGGTCTGGGAATATTGAAATTGGTGTAACTGGTGTTCGGCCCGAGGATATTCAATTAACTAGTAATGCAACTGATCTCGAATGTGATACAATAATTTTGTGCGGTAGTGTAGTCTTTCATAATCGTAAAATAATTCGAAATAATATTGCATTTGACTTGGACACTTTAGTAGCGGGAACAAAAGTTGGAGTTATGAGAAATGGAGACGGCGTACACTTTTTTATAAATGGCGTTGAGCAGGGGCCAGTTTGCGAATGCCGAATGCAAAATGTTTGGGCCGTGATTGATTTATACGGCCAATGCGCTCAAGTCAGTTTAACAAGCGGCCAAAGTGGTGATATTAGAGCTCCATATGCAACCAGCGAAAATTCCCAAAGTTTTCAAGCGACTTCGGTAATTCAGCCTGCCTTAGAAACAAAACACAGATGGACATGTATTTCCGGAAATGTTACTCTTTCACAAAATTGGACTATCGCTTCAAGGGTAACTGGAGCTTCAGCTGCATTGTCAAGATGTTTAGTATTCTCAGAGCATCCTTTGGCTGTTGGGTCACCCTTTGAAGTTACTATAACTTCACATAATCCATTATTTGCAGGCTGTTTAAATATTGGTGTAACTGATTTAAATTTGTCTGATGAGCATGTTCGAAAAAATATTCCTTTAAGTATGAAAAGAATTCCAGCAAATGTGTGGTATGTTTCTGGTAATGAAGTCCGTTATAACCGGTCATTGCTACATCATTCAATGGCATCTCTGGAATGGTTAAGGGTTGGTGATAGAATTGTCCTAGAACTAACACCAGCGAGAACCTTGAGAATATTATTGAATTCAGAGGATATGAACATCAACTTTCAAAATATTTCAAATGTAAATCAATTGTTCAAAATGATAAACATTTTTATTTAGTTTTAATTTAATTTTATTTAGGATGTTTATGTTGTTGTGGAGCTTCAAGGTTCAACAATGGCTGTGGAAGTGATTTCTTCACAAGGTCCTACCTCACCATTACGACCTTGTAGTTTAAGGTTACAGGATTCTTTGGAGCTAGGAATAGATCCCCTCAATAAGCAAGACTCTATGCTAGAGTCAATTGATTCTGAATCGTTAAGTTTCGAATTTTCTGATTTTCATGGGAAAAATATTAAGCTTTCTGATGAAAGACGTTGTGCACAAAGAATTCAGTCTTATAATCAGGCTTTGGTTTATATAACGAAACCTCTTTGCAAAGGACATAGCATTAGTGTAACTTTAAAAATATTTTATAAAAAATGACCTATTTTATTGCAAGATTTCTGTTATAGATTAAAATAGATGCTATTAATTCGAAGTGGAAAGGAACAATTGGTGTTGGAGCTCTGGGTTTGTGCCCGCAAATCAATAACTTCCAATTTCCAACATCCATAGTGCTATCGAAGAGACCTTGTTGGGTTGCAACTCATGATTACATTAATATTAATAGTAACAAAATTGCATCAAAATATGCGGAAGTATTAGAACATATTCAGCCTGGAACTGTTATAACCATGTCATTATCTCATGCTGGTACTTTAGCATTGACTGTTGGTCAAACAAATTTGGATGAATTAGCAGCTGGTCTGCCAAATCATGTGTACCCGGTTTTTGATGTATATGGAAAATGTGAAAAAATTTCTATAATAAATGGTGAATTACGCAACGGTACACCTATAATTGAAGAAGTTTCGCTGGATCACGATAATTTGATTGAATCGGATCATAATGTACCACAGTGTGAAAAAGCTGACTTAGAAGTACATGAGAAAGAAACAGAAATACAACAGGTTAATGGAATAATTCCAGTAGCAGCTACGAATTCCGTGGCAATATCGTCTCAAACAACAACTGGAACTTCTTCAACACCACAGGCTTCCACAACCGCAAATCCAAGTGGCAATATGGAATCAAATAGTAATAGTGTCATTATGTCGGGTAGCACAGGGTCTAATACAATGTAAGTTTTTAAAAAAATTAATTTATTTATTTTTATTAAGGTTTATATTTTAACACAGGAATCGTTCTGTCATGGAAAGTATGTCAGAGAATTTATTATTAAATATTTCAATTAAGAATCGCTCACTAGAATCTAAAGTAGAACCAAGTTCCTCTAATTCATCATGGTGAGATTAAAATTTTGGTTTTGCAGTTCCCAAATAATTAATTTATAAATTTTTAGTTGTTTACGTGAATCATTGCAACTACAACACAATACAAATTTAAACATTCAGCGCAGCCAAAGCACGCAACGGTTCAACGCATCATCTAGTACACCAACAAATAACGACACTAATAAAGATCAACAATACCATGCTGAGCAACCAATTCAAGAAGGTGCTCAAAACTCGTTCTCCGGTACAACTACGAATGTTATGGCCCCCACAACAACAAATGTATCTTGCATTCCTAATAATAACATTCCATCCACATCATCTGATAATATTTCATCGAAGAATTCACGCGAAAATTTGTTCGAAAACCTTGACAACGCTGACGATGACAACAATAACAGCAATAGTAATATATTAAATGATAGTAATTTAAATAACAGTTCAAACTTAAATGTTCAACAAAATTTGTCAAACTCTGCTCCAATTTCTATTCAAAATCAACCGTCACAACAACTTTCTCAACAAACTCAACCATTTCAACATCTGGGCAATCTAATAGATTCTAATTTGGAGTCATTAGAAACGATAGAAGATGAATTGTCAAGACAATTGTCAGAAACTCAAATTGATTCTCTAAGTACATATAGAAGTTATTCAGATTTTGAATCTATTCCGAGCATAGAAGCAAAAGATTGTGAATACTTAAAAGTTGTATGTGGCTTTAAGCGCACACTTGTATTACCAGATGCATTTTTTCAATTAAAACCACCAATATGTTTGTGTCAGAATTGTTATTCAGTCGGTGCGAATCGTTCTCTAATGAATAGCGATAACTCTCATTGTCTTTTGAATTGGGTCTATTTTAAATTAAATACACAGTCGATTAATAATCCTAATAGTGCAACACAGCAACATAATTTCGATTCAAGTGATTGGATGAAAGTTTACTATGCAACAAGAGTTGATAAAATTCGTGCAATATTAGATCATGGACAACCCATACCGATAGAGTCATCATGCAATAATGATAGCTCACATCTTGGTAATAAATGTAGTAATACTAATGTTAATAGTAGTAATAGCAGTATCAGCGGAAGCAATACCAGTTGTAATAATTCTGGTACTGCAAAAACAAAACAAAAAGATGAACCAGGAACGCATTTATTATTACATTGGTATCCACCGCCAGATATAAAAGCTTTAAATGCAGCTCATCGATATTATTCAAATGATATAGGATATACTATTGAAACTGCTTTTGAAGTTCTAGTACGAAAACAATCATTATGTTTTGCATCTTCGTCATCGAATGGATCCAATAAACCGTCAACAAGTCTATTAACCGCACGTAGTATTGATGATGAAAGAGATACCGTTGATGATAGTTTAAATAGCACTGGAACAAGTAGTAATAACTCATGGAATACACGTTCAAATTCAACTGGTAATGCCAATTGTAAAGATTTCTTCCATACCCATTCCCAGCAACCTACAATGTTTACAAAAGAAGCAGGCGCTTGCATTTTAACAGCTTTGATATTAAAATTAGTTCCTGTTGAGGGTGATTCGTTAGAGGGACATCACCATCAGCAGCAACAAACACAACCACAACAACAGTAGATAAAAATATTCAAGCATTAAATGTTTATAAATTAAAATTTATCAATTAATTATGTTTCAATAATTTTTTCTGTCTTTTGTACAAAACGAGAGAAAAAAAATTAACAAAAAAAATACTAATATACACACAAAAGTTAAAAAAAAAAAAAACAACAAAAAAACCAAAAAATTATACTGCTATAAAATTATAATTATGTAAGTCCAAAACAAAACCAAAATCTAATGGAAGTTATTTTGCTACAAAATATACATTAAATAGAATTTAAATTAAAAATTAAAATATTATAAGTAATTACCAACCTATTGCACTTAAGATTTTTTTACATAATTTTAAATTTCCATCTCGAATTAAGTTCTCAAGTTCTTACGCTAGTCAAAGTGTTTCAAAAATTCAATTATATATATATAATATACTACAAGAATAATTAAAATTAATTAAAAAAATTTTAAAATTAAAGGAAATATTAAAATCGAGTATTCAGCCACATTTTGGTAGTTACATCCCTTGACATGATAGGTTGTTATTGAAAAAACTTGTAATTATCTGAATAAAATTAATTTCGAAATTCGTAATTCTATACTGGAAATCAAAGTACTTTTCAATAATATCCCATCACCTCAATTAAAGTGACTAAGACAAATTATGTGAATGTAAATTTTCTATTATTTTCCTATTGTTAATTTTATTTTCAATTAAATTAATTTGTTTTCATACTATACTTTCTCTATAGTTTTAGAATACAGATTTATGCTATACAATAATTTCTTTTCATTTTATCATAAGAAAATATTAAAAAAAAAAAAAAGTGGTGCTTTGATGGTATGATAAAATAGCTATTCGTTTAACTATTGTTAGAAAATGAATTTGAGTCCCACCCATATGTTAAAGAAGTAACTATGTATTTTTTTTATAACAAAACTAAAACATAATGCACTCAATAAAATAATCATTTTCCAAGCTTAAGGATAGAAAAAAATCATTAGCTCAGAGGAATTATAGCTATTCTATTCCTTATATTACTTACAGGGTAATTATAGGATACTGTATATGTAGTAATTTAATATTAAGATATTAAAAAAAAAACTTAAAGTATTAAAAGCAAAAAAACATGAGGAAAATTAAATAAAGGCTGCATATAAAATAATTTTTTTTTAATTAATTTAATTTAAAAATATATATAATTTTATTTAAAAAGAAAATTTAAGCATTTAAATTTAAAGAAAATTTTTTTAAATAAAAATTTAAATAGAAAAAAAAAAAGACAAAAGAATTAATTCTGTTAATAAAATGTAATTTGAAAATTAAAATGTCCATTTATATATACACTTGAAGCAGTTAATAAATTAAGTAAAAAGTAACTATATATAATATATTTTTACAAATTTTCTAGCTTAGATTAAATAGGTTGCATATTTAAATAATTGTATGTACTAAAAATATTGTTTTTTTTTTTACTATTTTAGAATTTTTGTTTTATTTTTTTCATATCTCAGTTTCAAATATACTATATTATATAATGTGTACATACCATGCTTTTTAATAAACGCATTATATCGTGGCATATTGAGAAAACTGTGCTATATTTATGGTCACAAACAAATGTGGCTAACCTAGTTTGTTCATAAATGTTACTAAATTTTTGCAATATAATGAAATTATTATGAGTAGCGCAGTAAAATCATATGAGTAAAATTTATGCTGTTATTATGCATTTATGAACAAAAATATAACGCGATATATTTCGTTTATAAAAAAATCTATTATGTACAAACTTTTGTGCAAAATAATAATTTAAATAAGATGACTAATTGTAAATAAAAACTGAAAGTAAAGACTAACATCTTTAAATAATTTATGTTTTTAGACTCTTCTTTTTTTTCATAATTATTCTATATTATTTCAAGTGTATAATAAGGTCATAAATACAATTAAAATTTTAATTACTTGTAGTAGATATTTAAAAATTCGGTAGCTTTGAGCTTTTAAAAATAGAAAGAATAGCAAAGAATTATCGAATTATTTTAAGAGTTATTAATTTATTTTTTTAATTTTACGTTTAAAAAAAAACAAAATGCAAATCAAAAATTATAAGATTTTAGACAAAAAAAAAAAAGGATATATAATACATGTATGTATGTATGAATTAAAAAAAAAAAAATTAAAAATAAAATTTGAGATTATTAATATAAAAAAAGCAAAAACCACACAAGAAAAAGAAATAAAGATAATTTTTATTTTAATTTCAGTTGAAAAATTAATTTGTTCTTTTTACTTAAATAAAATTATATAATCTGGGAGATTAAAAATGAGCTGAAATTGTTTGTATATTATAGAGTGCCGCCTAAATTGAAATGGTCGTACGCAGTCTAGAAACAAAATAATAATAATTTAATAATCATATTAATAAATAACATTTTCCATAACACCTACTATATAATATGTAGATAGCAAGCCAACGGGGTAGATTTATTTTATTTAATAAATGAGATAATCCAATGCAATTTCATAGTAACAACAAAATTTAAAAAAAAAACAATGTCAATGCTTACTACTTCACATCAGATAATACAATAACAAATTTTACAATATGTAATTTCAGGGTATGATTAACATGAGTAACCATTATCATACAAAGGGAAGCGATAGATTAAGTTATAAAAATTATGCTAAAATAGAAAAAATAAAATATATAGAAAGCGACTGTAATACAAGGTGGTCCAGTTCTGGTGTTAAAGCTCTCGTGGGGTGATTCTCAAGAGTGTTTTTAGGAAACAAATCGTATGGAGGCGGGGGAGGGAGGATTTTTTGTACTAATAAATTCCAACCCTTACTAATTGATGATTTTGCTTGGCAAATAACTATATTTTGTGTGCGTCTAAATGATGAATGTTTTGACTTCTTCGTGCAATATTACAATTTGCATGATAATAACTGATGCTTGGCCTAAGCAATACATCTGATAATAAGTATATACAAATATATTATTTTAATTATAATTAAATTATATAAAATACTTAAAAAATATGGTTAAATAATGTAGCATTAAATGAAAATTTATTTTTTCACACTGAAAATTTTTTTAATGTTTTCGTATTCAAATAATTTAATTTTTAATGCGGCATAATAAACTTTTGGTCATACATAATAAATTTTTACACATAATTTTTTCCACTCCTATACAGTAAGTACATACATAAATGTTTTATATCTACATATGTATGTACATAAAAATATAACACTATATTATAGGCTTTTATTTTTACATTAGATAGAAATTTATAGTAATTATTATATACCTACATATGTATATACTTACTTACTTACATAAATATATTTTATACGTGGGTAAAAAAGCTAATAAAGACATTTAAATTACATTTAGTTATAGTGTTTTTAGTTAAACTTTTTTATTAACCACAGAAATAAAAACTATTATGTATGTAGAGTATGTATGTATGTACATACATATAGTATGCCTATTTGGTATTTAGTATGGTAAAATATTACATTGTGTTTTCGAATTGTAATATTATAATTTGCATGTTGTACAGAACGATCTCAGCTATTTTTTGTTATGCGCGTTTAGCTATGCGTAAATATTTGTACTGTGAGTTCACTCATAGATTTTGTTCTTTTCACTTTTTCTTTTGGCAAAAAAATTTAATAGATTTTTGCTGGTATAATTTGTAACAACCGATCGGAGTTTTGAATTATTTCTGGTTTTTTGAAATTTTCGATATATTGACAAAGACTACATTGAACATACGTTATGTACATACATATGTATATATATATATTTATGAACATACATTGCGAGAATATCATTAAATCCATATTCAGTAATAAGTAATCTTTATTTAATTTTAATTGAAATAAAGTTTTTTAAAATTGCATAACAAAATTATGAATTTTAATGATATTGATTTTTTAAAATTATTTTATTATGTAAAAATTTATTGATAATTGCCAAATACTTACATACATAGGTATATGAACTAAATAACGCCAATTTTGGAATACATATATTTGCATACTATGTTAAAACCTACTCAAAGTCAATTTGTTTACTATATACAAATGTATGTATGTATGTACATTTTTCTATTGAATGCGTATAATGTATATAGGTACTGTAATATAAACCTATATACACATACAAATGTTTATGCCTTATAAGTATAGGCATTAACAATGTCGTATCGCATATATTTTGTTGGATATTGCATTGTTGGATGTGTCTTATGTCTATTTATTTGGCTCACGCGACTTCTTCGTTGTTATTGGTTTTTTACCTATTTAAGGTCTATTTAGTCTATAAAACACAATTCATTTTTTAGTTCATTAGAGCGCGTTCAAATGTCACCATTTTTTTTTTTTTTTTTTTTAAATATTTTTTCTTCTTTTTTTCGTTATGAATTTATGTATAAGTTTAGTAGACTTTTTAGAAAATAAATAATTGCGAAATTTTTTCAAAATATGTATGTACATATATATATGTTTGCATGTAAGCTTTATTTTCACTTCGATGATCCCATGCAAAATCAGGACAAGTCAGTTTAGGCTTTTTCTCGCCGATAGTCTTATTTGAAAAATTATACAAAAGAACATCGACTGTAAATTTTTGTTTGAAATTGGTTGAAAAATGGAGAATGTGGAACTATATCATTTTGAAATTGTTACTTGCCTTAGCGTAATAAGAAGCAAACATTGTTAAAAGCTAAAATGTTTCAGGATTTTCGTAACGGTTAAATTTTTGACAAATGCTTGGGCTATTTGACAGTATCATTGTCATTGCATTATTTTGTATCATTGAAATGTGTGTTGAAATACCACATTGTACCTTAAACCTAATTTGAATTGGTTTGGTATTTCTATCAAGAATTAAATTCATTCAAAAAACTTTGACACAAATCCGAAATCAATATTTTTCTTAGTTCTCGAATTCACACCAGAGAAATCCTAGTTTAACATATCCTAGTTAATATACTTCTACATGTGACCATCGACTTATATTTGTAGTTAACATTTATGAAAGCATATGTATATGTACACAAGCATATTAAATGTAGGTACATATGAAAGTAAATAATATTATGTGAAGTATTGGTATGAAATGAAAAGCAAAAACAAAAAGAAAATATTATGGCTTTTGTTCACTTTTGTTTTAATGAAGAGGAAAAATTAAAATTTTTTCCACACAAGTTAAGTAACATAAATGTGGCAAAATATTTTTTATTAACTGTTTGGTTTAAAATAAAACAAGTATAGTTTTTGTACCAAAGTTTATATTTATGAATATAGAAATTTTAGTAGAAGCAGATGGTGTCTAGTTACGTTTTTTATTAGAAATTAGGTTGACTCGGTTATCACAAGATACACTTAGGCCAGAAAGACCAATGGTGATTCCGCTGAATATTCACTTGAACGAACCCGAATATTTTATAAACCCGGTCCGTCTCCTGCCCGTTCTGGCCACACAAGCTCATACAGAGATCGTTAGTGGAACGTTCCATTCTCACATGATCCAATCAAACAATACCCAGTTAAAAACCCTATCACAGCTTCGATGATTCGCAGAAGGGATCTGGCGTGCGGCATAGATTTCGCTTAAGCCACAATTATACAACTTTTATACAGTAACCCTTGTCCGGAAAAAGAGAATTTAAAGATTTTGTTAATAAAATAAAAATGATTTTATTCAATTTTTTAAAAGCCATTTAAAAAAATGCATACGTACATACGAGTACAATATAAAATCGAATATATTTTGACCACATTAGATATTTTTTAATTTATTATTGCCAATTATATAAGTAAATGCGGTGTAAAGTTTTACAACATTGAACTAATTAAATATTTACACAGATATAAAGAAAAAGCTTAAATAATATTGTATAATAATGTAAATTTCTAATATGGTGTACAATTTTAAACCCAAAGTTCATAAAATTATATTAAATTAATTAAACACATATGTATATATAGACAATTTAATAAATATACTTAATTAAATATAAACAGTAAATATTCATACAATATTAATAATTAAGTAATATGCGAATATTATAGAATAATTTCGTATAAGTGAGATTTAACTATCTACGTAATTAACATATTTGGTTGGCTAACATAACATACAACAAGTATAGGAATTTTTACAGCATTAAATAGACAAATTATTACATTTAAAATTGATTTGAATCATTGGAGTTATAAATTATTTGAAATTGAAATTAGTTATACCTTTAATTCGCGGGCGAATATGAATTTACTATATATAATTAGGTTTATTAGTGAAAATTTTAAATTAACACTTTGAAATCAATAAATTTATATATTCCCGTGACATATTCGTAGTGCGTACGAATTTTACTACATAAACTATGCATAAACAGTGGTAGTATTCGGATTATTGTGCAGTTATTATTTGTGCAGTTAATAGCGACAAGATAACGATATCCAAGATTATAAAAGACTTATCCATCATTTTGGTTATGAGTAAAAGTATGTACTTTAGTTTGCCAATTTCAATTAATTTAAATAAGTATATGAGCACACACACACGATCATATAAGATTTTCTCAATTATAAATTATGTAATTTGCAAAATGAAAAATATTAAATTTTAAAAATAAACTTCAAAATTACAATTATTTTAATATTTAATGTAATTTTATTATTGTTTACCATTATTATACCTACTTATATACCGTTATTATCATTGCATGCTATGCAATAAAAATCATTTAGTATAGATATGGCTATTATCTACAGTCATTAGTATTGAATGATGTATTACAATTATCTAATTACAATATTATATAAGTATATATACTTAATTAATAAAGAACATTAAACGAAGAATGTTTGTACAGATTTTCTACGATATACCTGCTG